TAGGCATGCTCAATTTAATGAAAAGCATAAAACATTTCACTTCAAATCAGTCATACTCGTGTAAAACGGGTTTAGTCCCGCCACCACTTCAAAAACAAATCAAAACATGCTTTTAAAAACTATACGGGCATTACCATAAATTTAATTACCTCACTTGCATAAAACCGAGCACTCAATCTCGATGCTAACTGACAGAACGATTGGGAACCTAATCAAAACACCTCAGAATTAATACCAGACTATCACAAATTCAAGTTGAAATCATCATTAGGATCATTGCTGATCACAATGCTATTTTTATCACTTTCCACATGATCGGACATCTCCAAATTCGTTCTCATATCACAAACTACTCATTTAAATCCCCAATAGTTGACTCTCGGGGTGTGAACAGTGTTCGTGAACAGTATTCCGTGAACAGTAACACGACGTGAACAGTAACTCTACTTCCACAAATTCTCCAAAACACTAGCTAATCTCACGGGATTTTCTCTCCAAAAATCACAGCAATCAACTCAAGCAATTTACACATGAATTAAGCAACAAAACACACTTAAAACCCTCTTAATTGCTACCGGAATTTCCCCATTTTTCCAACACAATTCGGACACACAAGGCAGAAAACAAATGATGAAATTCAAGCTTGGAGGAGCTGTCAACTTACCCACAATTTTCCAGCAAGCAACACCGGACCTGGTGGAGGGAAGAAGCCGGCGGCAAGGAAGGAAAATTCTGCAGGGGACTCACGGTTTAACCCAAAATTAAAGGAGCCCAACTTAAATCAAAGCTAAAGAAGGGAGAGTTCGCACTATTTCTTGCCAAAAACCGGAGCAAATCACACCCCACAAGCAAGAGCAGCCGGCGGACAGGGGAGGAAGGACAGAGCAGATCCGGAAGCTTCCTGCAGGGGGGGAGATTTCTGGGTTCCAAATCAGGTTCTAGAACAAGAAAATAAGGCAAGAACCATCAAGCTTCACCGGTTTCTCAAAGCATGGCTGGTTCCCCTTTTTTTTTTTTTCGAGTGGCTGCAGCGGGAAGAAAGGAGAAGAAGAACAGAATCGGGCAAGGCTGGGAAGAAAAGAAAGAAAAAGAAAAAGAAAAGAAGTCATCCTTATCCAAAATCTTTTCCTCTTTAAGTTTCTCAACTTTTAAAATATTTACATTAGACCCCAAAACAATCTTTTCTCACAATCAAGTCCTTAACTTAATGTTAAAAATTCTCGAAAATTTGGGATATTACAGTTTAGCTCTTAGAAAATATATTTTATAAATATCATACCAACATTTCAATGAAAACATATAATTCAAACTACTAGTCCCATACATACAAACATAGCCAAGTAATTAAAAATCTGATCTCAATATCTCTCAAGCATGATTAATTTCAAGGAAACATTCATAAGTGTCAAAAAGAGTTAGATAAGCAAGAAATA